CCGCGCGGCAAGGGGGCCGTGAGGGGGTGCGCTACGAGCGGGGGGCGACGGCGACGATACGACGCTCGAGTACGACCCGATGGCCCGTTCCAGAGTTGCAGAAACGCTGCGAAAAGCTGAATCGGGAAACATGTTGAATGAACGACGGCACGACGCACGAGAACGGAACGGACGACAGGACGCAACGAAAGACGGAACGATCGAAACGGAGAAGGAGGAGGCGGGCAGGCGGAGGGCGGTCCATGAGAGAAGGGGCGACCCCAGAACGGCGAACGGATGAGGCGACGATGAAGATGAGAGCGTAGACGCGCACGAGAGCGAGGCCGAAGGGTGAGAAAGGCAAGGGCGATGCAGGATGAGCGGCGTTGGAGGGCAGGGGAAGGGAATAATGGAAAGGCGACGGAGGGAAGTGCGAGGAAGAACGATGACGATGCCCAAAAGGAGGGGTGCTATGTCCAGCTGCATCCAGCGAGAATCCCTGGAAACGCTGCCCGGTCGTGCTAGATTGCTGCACGGAACTGCGGCGGCCCCTCGACCGCTCTCAACAGGCTGCGTCGGGCGACGCTCGAGTCCTCAAGGTAATCAGGCGCTTGCGCCACTTGCGCCAAATCAAATAGGCTCACGCGAAACCCACGTGCGAGAAACCATTCAAGAGATGCAGCTGCCTCGACACGCTAATCATATTGCCCGCCCTCCTTCCCTCACAGCTGGCATCGTCAATTCAATCGTCGTCATTGTCGCACCTGCCAGCCCAATCGTCGAGTCACTGCTGCCTGGATAACTCCGCTACCGAACCAAGGCTGGCTACTCCGTCTGAAATTCGCGGAGCACCTGGCTGGCAGATGAAAGCTGATGGCCAAGCACGCCCAGCACGCAAGGCTGCGAATTGTGTGCGTCGCCACCAACGCGCCCAAACTCACTGGGAGCTGCTTCTGAAACCGCGTGGCCACCACCTGGGGTTGACCCGCTCGAGCTTCCCTTCGCATGGCAACGGCGCTTGGTCGGGGGAGCAACACCGACCCCTGTGCCAAAAACCTTCGAGGGCGTTGTATCAACGACCGAAGGGCCAAGCATTTTCGCTGGCGTCTTCGCGCCAACGTTGGGGTCGGAGGCTGGGCTGCGGCCAGACTCGGTTGGCGCCAACGGCCCTGCGTTAGGCGCCACAGCCTTCCGAGGGCTATCGGCAA